GCCTCCTCTGCACTGGCTCCAGTAGCTCCATGTCCTTGTGCTGTTGGTGGCCCCAGCACTGGAGGCAGCACTGCAGGTGGGGTCTGAGGAGAGCGGAACAGAGGGGCAGAATCCCCTCCCTCCACCTGCTGCCCACGCTGCTCTGGGTGCAGCCCAGGACACGGTTATTGGCCTCTGGGCTGTGAACGCATGTTGTCGGCTCATGTTGAGCTTACCTCCTGCTTTCTATTTTATCCAGTTGCAACTGTGCCAACAGATGCTCTGGGCGACACTCCTGGGCCGAGGCTGTGTCAGTGAATTCCTCTGCCCTGGAAATGCTCTTTTCTTCACCCGACAGCACGCTCAAGCCAGAATCATAATGACATGGCACCATGGAGATGTTATGGAGCTTCTTAAAAAACTTGGGAGATTTTACCCTTGACCTGAAGGAGGAGGGGAAAAAAAAAACCAAAACCAAACAAAACCACAGAAATTGGTATGAGTGTTGACTTTTCCTTGAAATCTGGAAATAACAGGGATTAAGAACTGATCATCTGGAGACATAATTCCCTTGTACCAGGATCCAACATACCACTCCCTGTACATGGGATTTGAGAGGAACTAATGTGACAGGGGGCTGGGATTCACCCCAAAGTAAGGTGTCTACCCAACATCTCCTGCTCTCCAGAGCAAAGCAGCAGATAAGCTCCCATGAGGGAAGAGAGACTGGCTTTGCTCTCAGTGAGCTAGACTCTTGAGATCCCAAATACTTTAACGCCACACAGCTCTAAGGCACCCTTCCCTCCTCAACCTCTAGCATTTTCTCTTAGTCGTGCGCCTTTCATGATGTCTTCCCACACGTTGGGGATAAAGACTCCTTTTGAACGCAAAATGCTGCAAAATTAACATGTAATTACCAAAGAGTAAATCTGCAAATCATCTAATATGTAATTCTTCTGTCAGATCCAGACTGCAACTGCAGGTGAATGGAAGGGAGGGGGCACGCTCATGATTTATTCCTACGCTTTTCCTCAGCCTCACACTTTTCCCTCCATGCTTTGTGTACCTAAAGTACAAGTCTAGTTCCAAAGCCTCAGCACTGTTTTCTTTGGCAGAAGTTAAATTCTCCACTTGAAGCACTCCCCAAGCAATCCATTTCTTTGAGAGCTCAGCAACCCTGCAGAAATAAAACCTACTTACTACCTTGTTTCAGCACACCCTTGTACCTCATTTCAAGGAGATGTACACAAGCACGTTCTAGGAGGATTTTGGTTTGCTGGTATGTTGGTTTTCAGCATCATGGCTGCACTACGTGTTCATCATAGAGACCCCAGGCAACCTCCTTGGAATTCACTGAGCAACTCTGATGGCACAATTGACAGCTGAGTGTTACTCCCACCGGCAGTGCCAGCAGCCGCCTCACCTCTCGTGGCCTTGCCGGATCTCCTCCTGCGTGCGCAGTCTGGCTTGTTCCCAGGAAAAAGGGGGAGCGAAGTTCTTTAGATGCTCCTTGAAGTAGTACACACGAATCTCACCATCTTCACTTACTGCTTCTGTGAATAAATCCAAACCCCGTGGTTATTATTAGAACAGATTTTCCCCTTCAGAAAAGCTGACTATTAAAAAGCCAATTTGAGGAAAAATCGTGTGTTCACTTTCAAGTAGCTTCAAGTTGTAATCTGCACGTAAAAAGGAGCCTTCTTGAGCTGAATTACTGTTCAACAGATACCCGATTACTGGGAAAGACTGAAAAATGCTGCTTTATCTTAATTTTAAAAATTCTAGTGCATCCAAGTTCAGTGGGTTAATAATCATCATTCATAGGGTTAACACAGGCTCCCCTATAGTTAAGCCTAACAGGGCACCAAAAACCCCTCCACTCAAAACTGAAAGCAGACAGAATCCAAGACATACTTAATGGAAGTGCTCATTAACAGTCCCAGCCTGCCACCTAAACTGACTTGAGCTTGCACGACTTCTGAGGGTCTAATTCTTGGCCTTTAGTTGAATGTAAACTTTCTCCTACTGTGACAGGAGGGCTGAAAGATGTTGACCACATTCCACCACACAGTGACAAAATTTTTAACCACAAGCTCAAGTCAAGTCATAACCAACACTAAATACACACTCCAAAGAGCAGAAAGATGTGCAGTAAGCACAGTGTCGTTCCACAGGAGGAGATCAATATCATAGCTCCCTCCCTGCTACATATCACTTGCTGTGACACACTGTCAAGTTATTAAGTGCATTTAGGCAGGAAGCATCATCCATGTCGTAGAAGGACACACGATACCTGGAGCAATAGGCAGTTTGGGTGGTTTCCAGTCTCTTAGTTTATGATCAATGCAGACTAAGAAGATATCATCCCATGGGATATCATCAACAGAAGGTCCATCTTCATCAGAGTTCTCACATGTTCTGTTTTTCCACTTCAGGTAAGATTTTCTCAACAGATTCTCCACTTGAGACTGGATCAGTGGTTGAGTAAGGGAAGAACTAGCAATCTGAGACACATACTGAAAAATCATGCGACAAACAGGATGCCAAGGAGCTATGAGGAAACAAAAATGCAAATTGCAAGAATTTATAACAGAGTCAAACTACCCACCCTCACAGGCTGGTAATTCAAGATGGCACAGGTAGAGCTGAGAGAACGACATGCCACCAAGAAGATACTGCAGCGTGAAGTACATACCACCTAATGGAGGTAGATCTAGGTATGGGATCTGGAAGGACAGCACAGCCTTCTTCAGCCAGGCCAGGTGATCAGGCATGTTCCACTGCAGGTGGGGTAACAGCTTGTTACCCCCAGGCTCTGAAAATTCAGTAATGGGCCAAGACAAGTCACAAAGCTGCTTGGAGGATGCCACATCTGAAAGAAACTGCAGCACACTGTTGTACAGCTCTATGATGACCCCAGACTCTTGAGATGGCAGGCCAGCTAAACGCCTCTCCTTCCTGTCATGGTAGAAACGCCTGACAAATTCACCATCAATCCCATTCTCCACGTACTCCTGGAGGGTCTGACTGCAGAGGTCAGGGGAGTCAGGGCATTGGGAAACCAGCCAGCCCACAGCCGCAGAGATCTACGACACACAAAACATGGGTGGTTGGAAACCGTTCTGCAGGATTCAACCTCACAACTCTTAAGTTTGATGTAACAGTCTTCAAGATATTATACAATAAACCAGAAACAAATCAGCTATCATCATCCAGGTATTTGCAATCGTAATTCTGCAAGTAGGTGGTCACAAACTAAATTCAAATGCAGCAGGCTCAGGAACGGACAGAAAGACGCCTGTTCACACCAAGTGCAGTTGTGCAGTGCAATTCCCTGCCGCAGGATACTGGGGAGGCAAAAACTCATCTGCTAGAAATTGGACAGATTCACAGAAACTAGCCCAGAGTGACCATATCCAGAGAAGCCAGGTCTGATCCTGGCAGTTCTGGAACTGCAAAGAGATGCAAACTGTGAGGCTTTGTGGGGGAAGCATCACTCTGGGCTTGTCTTGTTCTCACCTTCTGTCTTAGGCACCTGCTTCAGACACGATGAGAAGGGATCAATGGGGGCTGGAGCTCCTTTTAGTCCAAGACAACTTGACCACTACCTTCTCCCACCTCTCCAACCCACCCTGCTATGACACACACAAAGACACTTTAGACTTTTAAGTATTATTTTCCATCCTGGGTTTCTGATGAGTCTCCAGGCCACTACTGCCAAGCACACAGCAGACTGAAGGACAAGGGGAGAAGCTGGTGTCTAGAGGCTGTCAGGGAGAGAGCGTCCAATCCTTCTTTGCATATGTGAGAGGGTAAGAGGCATCCCTCAGTCCCATCCACCAAGATGAGGTAATACTGGGTGATCTTACAACAGCCAAAAGAGCTACAAAGGGTCCTTTGCAATTTAGGGCTGGGAGCTTAAGGCTTACCCACCACTAGCACTCATCTGTTCGGCAGCAACAGTACCTCTGCTAGCCTATGCAGGCAGGACAGACAAGAATGGATTTACATAATCCATAGATTTTGGTCTCAGTGCAGTTTTCAGTATTACACAGAAGAAACTATCTCTTATGTAGCAAACGCCACTGATCTTGAGTCAGTTAAAACAGAAGTCACCAATAATGGAAAAGTAGCAGAAACATTTCATTTCTGAATAGTTCTGGCTGATGTTGGAATCACTATTAACAAGCAAGTACATGACAAGTAAATTCAGGTATGTGAAAAAAAAAAATGGTAAGAGAGCTTTTTGAACAAAAATTATGTTACAGAAACTTCAACAGAAAAAATTACGCAAGACTCAGCTGCAATAAGCTACTGAGAATGTAATAATTCCTTATAAGGCATTAGTAATTGAGAGGTTAATGATAAACCAGTCAGGTTTCTCTTCATGCAAGTTGCTGTTCTTACCCTTCTGGTGCCTTCTAAGTCATTGATAGAACCTGGGAGCTCAACAATGGTGTAGTGTGAAATAAGCTGGGCTGAAATCAAGTCCTGCAGCATCAAACCTTAAAAATAAGAAGCCCGTCACATACACAGAGAAAGAACAAACGCGTATCTCCTACTCTCACCTGGTCTCATACTCTGCATACATTCACAGCATCACTTCTCTCCTCCATCTTTCCCCATCTCAGGATCAAATACTGTGTGCAAAGGAAAACTGGAAGCCAAAAGAAAGTTCATTTCTTTCCATATTAATCAGTCCTTAAGGCCTCTGGATTTCTAGCAAAGCTCTCAAGCGTGTTGTACTTCACAGTCTCTCCCTTTAGTAGACGCTGTATTTGAGAGACTGCACTAACCACAGCAGTTCTACTTGATGCAGCCCTAATGTCCTGGTTTCGCTGGGATCGAGTTAATTTTCTTCTTAGTAGCTAGAAAGAGCTGCGTTTTGGTTTCAGGGTGGGATTTGTTATGAGAAGAACATTGATAAGGTACAAGGACACTGTGTTTGGGTAGTTTGTGAGTGCAAAGGAGGGAAGTGTAGTAATTTGCAAAACCCCAAATTGGCATTTGGATTTGCCAATGAGATATTCCAGATCATATCACGTCATGGTCACTGTATTAACCAGGGCTGACCAGAAAGGGGGGAATTCTCTCGGGAATCGCTCAGGCTCACTTTTCCAGGATTGTGATTTCTGGTTTGGGGTTCCTTTTTGCTCCTCTGGGATCACTATCGGTGAGTGTTGAGTGATTGTACTGCACATCGTTTTTTTTTATATATATATATACACACACATACACACACACACGATATTAATCATTATTATTATCATTACTATTTTAATTTTGTTTTACTCTAATTATTAAATTGTTCTTATCTCAACCTAGGAGTCTCCTTATCTTTACCCCTACAATTGTCTCCCCTATTCCCTGGGTGTGGGGAAAGGCAGGAGTGCGAGCAGCTGTGTCATATTTTCACTGCCAGCCAAATTAAACTATCACACTTAAGTATTCACATTGTTTTCTGAAGGCACAGAAATAATTACGTACGTTCTTCTACTTCTTTCTCTGTGGCTTGCTCTTCCTGACCGGGGACTAGAACCACCAGGGGAACTACCGGCTGGAAAGGTTTGGCCTGAAGCAACTGTTTCAACTGCAGCAAAGCTGAAAGCCAATAAACATCATCTTCTGCAACATCTTCACTCCTAACTCGACGGGGCAGGAGAAGAATGAGACCGCTGGTTCCAAGTAAGTCTTTTTGTGTCTGGGCTGTATCAAGCTCGGAATCGGACAGTGCACCATGTGCCACCTATACAAGTGACAAAGATGGTAACAGTAATGCAGCTAAAGGCAAATAAAGCTATTTTCATACTGAAACCTGCAGTTTACTATTGTTAGCATTCACCTTTGACATTCATTACCAGGAGCTCTACAAATCCTAAGACAACAAGTTCTAAGACAGACAAAGAACGGATGTGTCCCAACAGATGCAGGTGAGCACAAAAGTGCACGTCAGCGCTTGACTTGGCACCAGGAATTGAGATGATTGAGGTTCTAACTATTGCACTGTATTGATATATTCATGTATTTATATATTCATGTATTTATATATTCAGCTGACTGGAAACAAGGACAAAATCTATCATTTTTCAGGCCTTTTCAACAAAATCCATCCCTCTCAGAATCATCTCCCTCCAACTGACAGGACACAGAGGGAAAATCCTCCACACAAAATCTACTGGAAAAGAGCACATCCTGCTTTTATGGCCTGTCAGGTATCACCAAATCGTTCTGACCTACCTTTACACACACACTGACTCGAATGGTTCTGCTCCCTTGCATGCCAGGAGAATTACATAATGCCAGTGTTTGAATTCTGCCTTCTGTCTGCGAAGCGTTTTTCTTCCAGCTTTTGTCTCCTATAAATTTGGCTTTCAACCAGTCCACCAGCATTCTACCAAACAAGAAAGAGCAAGTATTTGGAGTCTTTTTTTTTTTTTTTTAAATTAAAAAAAAAATAAAATAGTGTTTTAGCACCAACAGCTCTAAGACACCACAATCTGTCATAACCCCAACCTTGATATTGCTTGGATATGGATAAACAGCTACTAAATATCTATCCTGAAGTGATCCACACTGCTACATATCTCAAGGGTTTCCGTTTTCAGCATAAAAAAAGAAATTCAATAAACAATGTCAGGTGAAGATACAAAACACTGCAATAAATTACAGCTATATTCTTTAGAGTGCTTGGCAGAAAAAAAAAAACAAACCCAAACAAACTGGAAATTTGACATGGTATGGGGAAAAACATACATCAAGGACTGGGTATTACTACTTCTCTTATTTGACTGCCTGCTGTGAGAAAGGGATCTAGCAACCAACTCTTACCTGTTGGGATCATCCTCTGCAAATTCATCATCATCTGGCAAAACCAATAACACCTTCCAAAAAACCTGTTCTCGTTGAACTGGAATATGTTCAGTGATTAATGAGACAAGATCCAAGGGAGTCCAAGCTAAATCACTTAAAGAGAGAGAAGCTGGTGAAAAGACACCCTAGTGATCATTCCCACCTGGGGAATCATTTTCTTGCTTTGAACAAGTTACAATACTGTCAGTAGCTACTGGCCAGTTCAAACAGTGCAAAAGTAGATCTAATTCTTTAGATCTGTTGCCCATCTATTTCATCAGACGCCTTCAATAACCACAGCTGCTTAATCTGTGACACTTTGGGGTTTGTGGGACGATATATGTATTCACAGAATCATTGAACGTTGTGAGTTGGGGGGGACCCAC